TACTTTAACTGGAATTTAATGTCCATTAAAACTATATAGTTTTTGTGTGAATCGATACTAAGTAAATGTTCTGAATTAATTATCTGATCCTCTCTAATTAAATTGTTTTGTATAGTAATTACTGTAGGAGGCCTATACAGATTTTGATCTTGAAGATAGTGTAAAAAAATATAGTCTGTATTAATGAATTCGGATGTAGTTTTAAGTGTATTTATAAAAGTTTTTAATCTGAACTGCGATTCCGTATCGATGTGAATTGGTATTTCTTCTATCTTTTCAGCTATTTTAGAGTAAACCTCTTATGGTTCTTTCTGAATGGAAGTAACATCGGCTCTTGTGTCTGGTGTAGCTTTAAAGTAAAGTTAACTGCAGCTGCACGAGTACGGATTTCCGGACAAACTGACGCGATTGGTCAAGGCGACGATGGATCGAGTGATGTGCGTTGTTCGAGTATCGGGGACACTCTCGAGTCCCTTTGAATCTCGAAGGGGGTTACGGCAAGGTGATGGACTTTCGTGTCTGCTGTTCAACATCACGTTAGAAGGTGTGATCAGAAGAGCTGGGATAGACACGAGTGGCACGATATTTAGGAAGTCCATCCAGCTCCTTGGCTTCGCCGATGACATTGACATTATGGCACGGAACTTTGAGATGATAGCGGAAACTGTAAGTTGCGGCTTACTTGCCAGCCTATAGCTGGCCCGATTAACCCCGGCGGGGTGGCTACGAGCAGCGTACTTCCCCCAAAGACGTTCGGATTTGGATGGATTGATAAGAAAAGAAAAAGAAAAATACAATTTAAGACGTCTATTATCCTCTAACCTTTCCCTTTTCTCCTCGTTGTTCTCGGTGTCACTCGGTGGGGCCCTTCGACGATAGCGGCGGCGGATGCAGATCGTACTGCTTCACGTTAGCTGCGTAGCAGCGATCCTTGGCGTTTAGCGGGGGGGATGAGCAAGACTCCTTTATCGGAACCCCCTCGGCGACGATGGTGACGAATCACCGGACCAACTACTCGCCGTAGATGGTCCCGGTAGTCACCGCAGTGCAATACCCAGGGGAACGCTCCTTCGGTTCGACCTGCTTCGTCTCTCCTTGGCTCTTAACTGCGGTGGCGAGACTGGCTCTACTGGCTGAGCCACCGCAGTGAGGACGGTGGGTGTTCGGGGATCCTTGGGGTTTAGCCGGGAAGCGGAAAAATCCTCGAAATTTAGCTTCCCTTGGCGGCGATCCGACACCCTTCACTTCAGCTCACGAACCACGGCACTTTTCGGGAAAACGATGTCTTTTCCACGCGACGGTGCTGGGAATTATCCCTCCAGCGGACACACGCCACGAAAACGGCACTCCAACTTCTCGTTTTCACTTAAAACGGACGGGGCAAAAAACGCGTCGATTTCCTACCGTGGCTCGTAACTTTCTCCTTCTGTACTAGCTGACAATCACGGCCAATATAACAACCGCCACCGTTCTCCTGCAACCGTGCTCGAATGTTGTGCTGCTTATGTTTTTCGCCTTATTTTGCAGCGGGAGGAGAAACGGGACCTAACTTTATTCTACACGCGAGACTGTTTTAAACGATAATTTTTACACTATATTCTAATCTTAAAACATGCCTACACGAATAAAATCTACGATGAAAATAACAAATTAAAATATTTACAAATAAAGCAGTGGTGAGTATGTTGCCGAGCGTGCGACCAAAACAAAAACAAATCATAACAGACAAGGCACACGCTCATGGCAAACACGTTAAAAGGGTGGGTTATTAATTGTCACCCTAGACGAGGGTTACAAAACGTACATCAGACTGAAGACTGAAGCTAGGCGGATTGAACTTGCCATCAACGCATCGAAGACAAAATACATGAAAGGAAGAGGTTCTAGGGAAGACAATGTTAGCCTCCCACCCCGAGTTCAGATTAACGGTGACGAAATCGAGGTGGTCGATGAGTTCGTGTATTTGGGCTCACTGGTGACCGCCGAAAATGATACCAGCAGAAAAATTCAAAGACGCATTATGGCAGGGAATCGTGCCTACTTTGGACTCCGGAGGACGCTCCGGTCGAATAAAATTCGCCGCCGCACGAAGTTGACTGTCTACAAGACGCTGATTAGACCGGTGGTCCTCTACGGCCAGGAGACCTGGACTATGCTCGTGGAGGACCAACGCGCCCTTGGTGTTTTCGAACGAAAGGTGTTGCGTACCATCTACGGTGGAGTGCACATGGATGACGGAACGTGGAGGAGGCAAATGAACCACGAATTGCACCAGCTGCTGGGAGAACCATCCATCGTCCACATTGAAAAAATTGGGCGACTACGGTGGGCTGGGCACGTCGTAAGAATGCCGGACGACGACCCAGTGAAAATGGTTCTAGAAAGCGACCCAACAGGAACAAGAAGAAGAGGCGCGCAGCGGGCAAGGTGGATCAACCAAGTAGAAGGTGACTTGCGGACCCTTCGCAGACTACGAGGCTGGCGAACTGTGGCCATGGATCGAGTAGAATGGAGACGACTTCTTCGGACTGCAGAGGACAACAAGGCCTTAGCCTGATTGGTGGTGGGTAGCTGTTTTAATATCCGTTAATGATTGCTCCAAAAGATGTTCATCAGAGTGCTTGTTGAACAGCAGTGAAAATCTCCGATCCAAAGTTGAGCTAGCTTCAGCGTCACTTTGATTGAGATTCCGAGAGGAGTTTTTGGAATCAGAATTGACCGAATGGTTCGTTGTCGTTGTCGTTTGAATGACCAGAATTGACAGAATACTGCCAAACATTCTGGATATGTACAGGAGAAGCGATAACTGCTAGGTACTTGATGATGATCTTTTAAGTGCTTTATATACTCGTTGGCCGAATTGAACTGTAAATGACATTCCTCAACAAAACAGTTAATTGTCATTTTGATCAGATTTCTGTGTAACTCTCAATCCATTAAGAAAATCTTCAAGCTTGTCAATGCTTGCATATCTTTCAGATACTTTCAACCCGTAAAAGTTTTGTGAAATTAATAACCACACGAGCTTGTATTTTGGAATGCTTGATTGCGAAAACAGCAGTCAGTTTTATGTATACTTCAACTGCACGTTGTACTGATGGCACCGAGTAGAAGAAATCATTGAAGTATACTCTGAATGTTCCTGACAGCTTGGTTGGAGTTCCAAAAAACACAAGTTTGGCTACGTTGGTTATTCCTAGACGCTGATTGTTTTGCAGGTCTTTTAGTTTCTTTACAGCATCGTCGTTTGAGGTGGCGAAGATAATGGTATCCTCCCGTCCATTTATTATAGTTGGTTTTTAATTAGCTGTGACCTTCTGTGGATGTAATACATAGTTAAACAGTAAGAGAAACACACAGCTACGGACGTCAGTGAAAAAACATTAATACAAAACATCATAATCTGGGAGTATCGGACAAATATTATTACACAAGGTTGCTATTGCTCATGTTGAATTAAACGATGATTATGGGAATTATTAAATCATAAGAGATATGATCATATGTTTAATTAGTAATTTACAAGAAGATGTTGCATAGCATGTACAGCGATCACAAAATCACACTGATTAGAGAGCCCCGCATAAAAAATAACCATAAGGAGTGCCTAACAACCTATTCGGGTTATCATACCGACAATATGTAGTATGGTTGAACGATTTTTGGTATCATTCATGTATGGTGCTGGTTTTTTAGTGTCACACATAAAGAGCCGGTTTTATATGTCAAACTCGTGGTTTTTTTTTCTATAATCAGACATGTTTGGTCCAAAAGGTCTCAGAATTTGATAAAACTTTGTCAACAGGTAGAGTTTCTGGTAACATGAGCCCAGTGATGGATCGCTCTTTTGGGGTTTTTTCATTCCTTTTTATTATAGAATGCTAGCGTAAAATCGAGTTGAAATTTCAGTTAATCCATCATAAAAAGCCAGGAAAAGCCATGCCAATATTTTTGAGTTTATATAGCTCATCCATGAGCCATATAAACTCAAAAATATTGGCATTGGGTTTCCTGACAATTGTAGTTGAAGTTTTCGGATGTTCCTCAAATAAAATGATAAGGAGATTTTCTTAGCAATAAAAAAAAATACTAATCCATTAGTTATGTCACACTTTTAGGGGGAAGGGGGTTTTGGAAACTGTGACGAGTCATACAAAAAAAATTAAGGTCCATACAAAAAATGTGACAAAGGGGGGAGGAGGGGTTGAAAATGAACCAAAAAAAAAAAAACATGGATTGATTCGTTAGCATGAGATTTTCGAGCATCTATGATTGAGATTTAGATGTGTTACCCCCCTAGGGCACAACACATATTTTTAAATGCGTGAAATTAGTACACGAATTTATGTACCATACGGTATATTGATGTGAATATTTACTCACGATTTATAGGATTCAAATATGTTATTCAGGTTTATCATCTGTGGCGGTGTTACTGGATAGAATGTTCAGAAAATATGTTGATGGTTCGTCGATGGATCGATGTTTGATGTATTGTGCTGCTACAGAAAAACAATCTGACCAAGTAGGGATATTATTTGTAGCGCTCAGATTCACCAGTCAACAATCGATATCAATCTAAGCAAGGAAGAAGAACAAATATTATAGACTCATGAGCCCGTTTCGGTCCGAATTTAAAGTTGAAGTTAAAAAATCGCCCTGCTTTTAATTATTGGATACCCTTATGAAAATTCCTCATAACCAAAATTCCTGACACAGACAAATACAGACATTCTATTAACATTTTGGTACGGCAATTTAATAAAAAATCTAATCTGACATCCATGACCCTATCTTAAATGATTCGTTCATCAGTAGGAATTATTAATGCGTTTTTCTATTTTCCACAAAAATACCCCAATTACCAGCATCCTGAAATCTCTATTTTAAACAATTGCTCCCATGTTGGAATCTGAGTTTCCCATAATTATAGGAATGCAAGACGGAATTTCTCAATTTTTCCAGCAACCAAAACATTCTCATCAAAAGCAAAAGCACTGTTAGAGTACGTAGTTCTGCATAGAGCACAGAAAGTTTTCAATTTTATTTGATAAGCAACCAAAACTCGTTTCCATCTTATACACATCTTGATTACCGTTTTGTTGCTGATGCTTCTGGCTGTGCTAATAGCGTTAAAGATTAATTCCTTACTCTGCTTACTTCTTCTTACACAAGTGCTACATGTTTAAGTACAATTTCATAATATTTTCCTCGCATGATTGAGGATCGCGGACTTACATTGTTTTGTTCAATTACACTTCTGAATTGAATTTTATTTACAGGTCTAGGATGCCACCTGCCGTTAACCTGCAAGTGGCAACCCATTTCTACACCCGGTGCCTAATCGGAACTCATCTGCTGTATTTACCTATCTTCCTTATTTTTTGCTTTGTAATTCTACAATTTCCTCGCTTCCTGGTATTTTTTTTTGTTTCAACTTAAATCGAACGATTCTATGTTATTTTTTTTTCCTTTTATATTCACTCTAAATTGTTTCATTCTCAATCAATTTGAATATCTTTTCTTTTGTTTGATACTTTGAAACGTACTTTGGGAAGAAAGATCACTTGAGCTGCGTCCTAAAAAGCAGTCATTTCACTATCGTTTACAATTATATGCGTGTATGTAATGGTTTGTAGGAAAATATCTCTTATCTTTTTTGTTTTCTCCCATAGGCGTATACTTCAGAATTCCGTGCATATTACAAAAGCTACTGCATTCTGCTGCTGTTTGTATGTTTCCAGAGCACTTTCCGAAACTTACTTAGGTAACCTGACTCAGTCAGAATCTCTGAATATCTAGTTGCTGATAGAAAATTTGATTGTTCTCTGTTTGATTCACTTTCACGGAGTTTCAACTTTCTCGTACAGTTACAAAGGAATAAATAACTTTAAAAACATCGCTTCACAGTACAACTTTAAGCAATTCAAGTAGGATTCGACACTTTAATGATAATTAGTTGGTTTAGTTATACCTCATCTATCTGCGGGTTTCGGGCGGAAGGTTCTGCGCCTCTTCAAAATTCAAATCACAATCCACTGGTCACAATCTCGAACGAGTCAGCAGAAATGATATAAGGAATACACCACCCAATGCAAGGAAAGAGACTCTTAAAATAAATAATCATTAAATGCTACCCCTCACGTGGGGCTTTGGCTCAGGTCACGCATAGCTCTGCGCAAGGTTTTGCTGCGATTGTTGCAGCTGCAGCTGGCATGGATCCAGATGAGCCAAACTGCCGTCCAGATTCAGGTTCATATTGCAGTTTCCCCGTTCAACCCAGTGCCTCAGACGGCCCCGGAGCTCTTCCAAGCTTTTCGATTTGGCCTTGTTGATTCGTTTGTATTTGACGTCCTTCGGTTTGGTCACCGATCGGTGATTGGACATCACTCGATTGTAGTTTGTCACCGCTCCCACTTTACAGCCATTGCCCGGAGGTGTGTCGGAATCCCCGTCGCAACTCGAGTTGGTGATAATAACAGTCGTCATGGTTGTACTGGTGATCTTTGTCTTAGTTGTACTTTGGTTTTCCTTCGAGTCATCCGATTGATCAGACGATACGCATTTCTCAGTTCGGTTCTTAAATTTGTCCCGTCTCTCACTGACTGCATCGGACTGGTTCTCACCACCTCCAGCAGCACCTCCCTGAGGTTCCGGATCTTCCTCGACACTGTAGACAGTCTCCAGCACCTCCGGTCGCCGAAGAAAGCAGTTCGACCGCCTCGTATTGTTGTATTTCAAATTGGTCGTCTCGATTGCATCCGAAATCGACCGCACTATCGTCACATCGTTGTTGATTTTGTTTCCTCCGCAACGGGACTTGAGCGAACCGCCACCGAAGTAGATCGAACTGTTGCAGTCCGAATCCACGTCCTCCAGGACGACCGCCGAATCGGAGTCGTTCAGCGAGTCAAAGTCATTGCTATTGTTGTTGCTGTTGTTGTTGCCCAAACCGATGGCCGGATCCATGACCACATCGATAATGCCGTGGTCAATCAGACGACTAGATAGGGTTTCGATGATCTTCTGCTGCCGGTAGATCGTCAACTCCCGCTGGTACAGAACGTTGGACACTTGCTTCTGCTTGCGCATGATCCGCGATTCCAGGAGCAACAGCTGGCTGGTAAGGTAGTTGAGCTGCTCGGCCTTCTCCTTCTGCAGCCGGTGGATTTGTTCTTGCTGTAATGGTAAGAGAAATAGACGTTTTTTTTTATAACAGGTTGATGCTTTGGAAAATTATGTTTTTTTTTTCTCTACGGGACCATGATTTCTGATCTCTTAGAGATTTTGAGGAAATTGTTGACTATCATTGTTTATTGAATATAAAAAAGAGAAAATCACATTCCTGGCTATATTGTCTTTCATCATACAAATCCATGAAAAAAAGTATTACCGAAAAAAAAATTAGCTCCGATTTCTCTCAAACTATGTATATTTGATCCTTATCGAAAAAATAGACCTGTATTCAACCCGAAAATTTCATAGTTTTACCCCGAATCTTGCCAATAAGTATACTAAGTCCGATATCTTGAATATTTCTCTTAAAAGCCCGAATATTTCTTCAAGCTCAGATTTTTTTCCTTTCCATACTACAGGATACCCAAAATTAAGTTTGAAAAAATCGCAATGTCTGGCATTTTGAATATTTTTGATAATCTTTTAGCACCTGGAAAACTCGAAAATTTCTCCATTCTGAGATGGATTTTTCTCACATACCTTACTGCTACACTTTTATGAACGTTCTTGCTCCATAATCTTGAACAGTTTTATAAGACCAGGATCTTCAGGATTCTCAATCGAAGCCTCAGAATCTTTAAAAGTTTTGTTAATCCTGGCTCTTGAATGTCAGTGTTCGGAATCTTGAACATTTTACAATGTTCAAATTTACTTTTTTTTTTCTTAGGAACTAATCTCTTGATATCTTTGCAAATTTGTCAAGTATTTACTTAGGTTCATTCCAAAAAGTGTTCAGAATTATTTGTTTTGCTCTCAATATGTCCCTCAATAATCTTATGGGGGATCGAAGTAGGCCGCGCTGCGAAAATGACGTGTTTTTTGCTGCGTCGTTTTTATTCTAGTAAAAATGTTATAAATTTACAATTTCATTTTTAAAAAGTGTTAATTTGAAAGTACAGAAGTGATGTTGAAAAGTGCATTTTCAAATTCTTATCCGTTGCATGTGGTGCCGACTGTTCTAATAGCGAATTCATTTATTGTTCAGTTCCAACCTGGATCGGGTATCAAGATTGGGTCTGCTTGTTTTCTGACAAACGTCAGTTTGCTCGTTTGTTTTTAAAACCTAGCTCAGTTTGAGGTTCACACTGACAAAAAGTTCGGTTTCGCACTGGATTGGAACTGGTGTTAATCCCGATAATAAACGAATTCGCTATAACCTACGCGTAGTTACGGTCAGCTAAGTTTATTTACCTTTTCGTTCCTCTATCCTCGATAGGAAATATTCATCTAATTCAAGAAGATCATTTCAAAACTTGCTAAATACGCGTCAATCAAGTATTGCACTATTGTTTGATTGAAACTTTCAGTACATTTTCAATAGTGTATATTTGCATCGATAATATATTGGAGCGGGGCTTATCATGTTTGAAAATAGCTTCGGAATGCTTGCGTTCTTGAAATGGGCTATTGTAACTGCTGTTGAGCTGTCACCTTCTAACTCCCGGGTGGTTCAAGCTTCTTTGCATTCATAAGAAATGATTGCAGGCAGATTTTATCCATAATACAATTCCACATACTATTAATAACCTTTTACAAATGAGAACCTCCTATCGATCAGAATGAATTGTGCATATGTTTAGGATCAACACACATTTTCAGGCACTAAGGAGCAACATGATCGAGCTACGTTTCTTAATTCCAAAATCTGAAGACTGTTATGAATAATATGTTAAGGCAATGGGCAGCAACAACGGACAGATAAACTACTTACAGCTTCTATTTATTAAATGCTTGATATAACGATTGTCAGCAACGCGGGCTGGGCGTATCCTATGGCTTACACACCCACTCCCTACTAACAAAAATCTACCCTTCCCGTGACACTTATGAGGGGTCGTAGAGTTCTTTGCATCTCAAGTAAGTGTCGGACTAACATTCCTGCCCTTTTTCCACCAAATGCAAGGACGTGGCCAGGACAGCTCTGGTCCATTGGAGGGAGACACATCCTCTATCTAAGAGGTAGTAATTAATCACAAATTACTATCTAACAACAACGGATGAAGGTGGGTCTCCTTCTTAACAACAGTTTGGAGCTCGTACCACCTACGACATTGTGCAACCTGGTTTATGCTATGCTATGCTTATCGAAAAAAATACACCTGTATTTTATTATTCACCCTTACAGTGCACCTTTCCGAGTTAGGGTGGACCAAAAATCGACATTTTAGCCCATAAGTCGGACTCGATTATCCGCAGTCTTAATTTGTTTTTCACTGCGGGTAATCAAGTCAGTTTTTTTTTATTGTTGTTCTTATTTTTTTTGAATCTGTGAATCATAAAAATTATTATTGATTCACCCCCCTTAAGTGAGGAAGGTTTTTTATTACAACACATTTTTTTTTATTTAACTTAAAAATAATGACAATGAGTTCAAACAGGTATAAATGTTTGCCATAAATCCCGTCAAGCACAAATAACAATTTTCCAAGTGTAATTTGTTTTGTTTACTATAAACGATAGACTACAAATCGTCAGTTAAAATCATCGTATTGTAGTGAACTGTTTTCGAACATTTAAATACGAAATGATGGCGAGCGGAAATAAGGATAAAGGTGTTCCAGTGAAAGCCAAAAGGCAAAGAGTCGTTTGATGAAAAAAACAAAAAAAAAATACTACAAGATTTTGAAAGAGGCCTAGCAATCCATCAATAGATGAAATAAGGAGGAAATACAATATTGCTGCATCAACCGCGTATGGCCTGAAGAGAAGCAAGCTAAAAATCGAAGACCAACTATGTTTTCAATATCACTAGAATGATCCTTGGAATATTAACATCTTGCTTACAAATAGTGTGAGTTTATCGTTATACACTGGAGTCGCTATTTACGCGGGTTTTTTTTCACACGGAACATATCCCCCGCGTAAAAAGCAACTCCAGTGTACTCCTAATCAAAATAACTTCTGAGAGAGGCATGGGCTGTCTTTGTGAGCTTTCGAAATATTTGCTGTAAATGTATCACAAATTATACCAATAAATGTGAGCATTTTTTGACGTAGGACTACGTCTGTTTTTTTGATAAGGGGGTACACTTTGCGAAAACCGAAAATAAAACATGTAACAAAATTATGAAAGAATTTGAAAATTAATAACTCAGCTGCCCCAGGACCAATTTCAATAATGTTATCACCAATCGATCAGAAATATTTTGACGCATCAATAGCTATGCTCTTCGACTGACACTTTTCAACAAGAAACTATTGAAAAAGTGGTAATGCCAAGCATTGTCCAATGTACAAATAAAAAGTGATAATTTTATGAAATAAACGTTCATCCCAAACCCATTCATTATAATCGAGTACCACTTGGTTGCACATTATTCTGCTTTAAACTGAAAAAATATAAAAGGGCGCTGCTGTCTAGCCTCAACTCAAATAGAGACGCTCTCGCTGACCCAGCCATGGATAGTGCCGGAAATCCCGGGAGACGGTCTAGGCCTAAGGACAACAGTGACAGTGCGACAGCCGCGAAGAAGCTGCTGGACAACAATCCGTTCTCCGTTCTGACAGAATGCCGCCCTTCTACGTGAAGGGCTTTCCTCCCGGACTGTGGAAAAAAAATAAACTTCTACATCATGCAGGGTGTCCGGTGCACCATCCAGTTGTGCACGGAAGGATACAAACTGATGGTTCTGGCGTTGAAATATTACAAGGCGGTACAGACCATACTGGACCAAGCACAGGTGGAGTACTTCTCCCACGACATCGAGGCTGTTAAGCCGTTCAAGGTGGTCCTGCGAGGACTATACGACATGGACACAGGCATCCTCTTGGAAGGGCTGATGGCTAATGGACTGAAGCCGGTCCAAATTCACAAGATGGCCCGCCACAACAAGGCAGTCAGGTATCGCGGCCAGAACTCAACAACTTTGATGGACCTCTAGGGCATCCCCGTCCTGTTCAACATTGTGATGAAGTGGGAGCGGTACAAGTCGGTCAGTTGTGGAGTCACCCAATGCTCGAACTGCCTGCTGTTCGGGCATGGAACGAAGAATTGCCATATGGTCGGCCGCTGCATCAAGTGTGGCAAACAACACAAACCCGACGCCTGCGACTCGATGAAGCCGATCCCATTTGCGCCAACTGCGGTGATGCTCACAAAGCTACGATACAAGCAAGGCCTGTCAGAAGCGCACCGAGATCACCGAGATCCGGAAGAAATCATCGACGAGAAACCAGCCCGGCCGCAAGAAAGTGCCGGAAATTAATGACCAGAACTTCCCACCGGTACCACGACGACCGATTACAGTGCTTCCACTGCTTCCACTCAATCAACGATTGGCTGCTGCTCGTGCCGCTGCTACTGCTGCGACGGCCGCCACCGCTCAAGTTCAAACTGCCGGAGTCCCTGCAAACTCAGGTCAAGAGACGACTGCTGCTAAACTGGCGTCAGGATGGACCATCCCTACCGCAGCCAGAAATCAACGATGGTTCGTCGTTCACCGCAGCGGAACTAACGATCATCTTCCTCAAGATGCACGACATTGCCAACACCATCAAGAACAAATCCGACCAGCTCCAAGCTGTGGCTGCCTTCATGCTCAGTTATGGATCGTGAGCTCATCAAAATCACAAACTGGAACGCTTGCTCGCTCAAGAGCAAAATTATCGAGTTCGTTGACTTCCTCAACGAACATAGCGTCGACATCGCCATCATCACCTGAATTCCGGCTCGTGAGGTTGGATCGGACAAGCTCTGGGGGTGGTGGAGTGGCCATCGCTACCAAGAACAATATCTGCTGCCGGCTGTAACCCAGTTTCCAGCTGAAAATGGTTGAAGCATTGGGAGTAGAAGTCTTCACACCCGTCGGCCCCGTCACCATCATTGCGGCCTATTGCCCGAAACAAGAAAACGCCAGGGATGGATCCGCGGCAGACCTGCGGAGGGATATTATCAAGATAACACGACGCCGTGGAAAGCTAATCATCGCTGGCGACCTGAACGC